ACTCCTCTCGTGCTCTAGAGGTCAGATGTCCTCCAGTTAGCTCCGCTGTGATGTCAGCATCAGTTTGTGAAAAGTAAACTTTATTGACAAGGTTGCTGACGATGGACAACAAAGAAGAACATGCCTAGTGGGCGCCAGTCACCAACAAAATATCTGTCTGTCCGCTTCCTGTCTGTCTGTCTCTCTTTATGTTTTTCTTATTGTTTGTTCACTACATCATAAATCTTAAATGGAGTTCTCTTTTAAGTTCTAATATCAGTGAAGAAAGTGAGTGACAGTGAAAACAAATTAATCACGCAGACGGGTTAGGTCAGACAACGACACACACACACACACACACACACACACACACACACACATTTGAAGTCTTCCCACTGTTGATTTGTTTTGTTATTATCATTTACATTTGACCCACAAAAATAAGAAATGATGAGAGGGTTCACACGTGATTAATAATAAAACAGATGATGACAAAAACCCATTGCAAAACAACGCCATTGATGATTTGTTAGATTTTTTTTAGGTCAACTGTACAAATGACAACTGATGGAACAAAAAAAATAATAATAAAAGAAGAAAAAAATCAAACGCGTGAACCCGTTCCAGCTCTTGTTTCCTCTGGAGTCACATGATGACCCACTTCCATTATTTACTGTTTTATGTGTATTATTTATCCTTTAGATATTCAATAGGTTTTAAAGTAACAGACAAACATGTATTCAAGTCAACACACAGGCTGCAAGCAGACTAACCCACGGTTTTGTTTGCGTGAATAAATTTCTCTTTGTGACTTTTTCGCTTTATTTCTTCATTTGTTTGTTTGTTAATCATCAAGTTGTTTACTTTGTTTATTTGATGGCCTTGCGAGCTGACATGTTGTTGACATTGTTGGTTTTCTGAAGTCACTTCAACATTCATTATCTGGATTCAACTGTCTGCATGTGTGTGTGTGTGTGTGTGTGTGTGTGTGTGTGTGTTTCTGCGTTTGCATGTGCTGTCAAACTACAGTGTTTCATCTGTTGCAAAAAAGACACTTCCCAGCCTGCACTTCTCTGACAGCCATACTCAACACACACACACACAAAAATGCAAACACAAACACACACAAAGAGGAAAAGAGGCGACAGCAAAGCAAAATATAGATATTAAAGGAACAGCATGCACAGTAACACACATGCATTCACATATAATTTAGATAATTCTTTGATATGATATGATTGAAGCTGGATTGCAAAAAAATTACATTTTTCCATATCTTCATACAGATAGCAATATCGCCTGGTGATGGGTTTGAGAATGTGGCTGAGAGAGATAAAATCCGTATGAATTACTGTATGTGAGATAGACCCCAGTATATGTGTGTGCATGTGTGTGTGTGGAGTGTTTGCGATTATAATTCGTGTGTGTGTGTGTGTGTGTGTGTGTGTGTGTGTGTATGTGTCAAGTAGATAAATCTTTGATGCAGCGTGTTTTAAGGTTGTGTGTGTTGTGTTTTCGACTTGTCAATCACAGATGCGTGACAGATAGCTCTGATCTAACTGACTGGCCCTGAACCATCACACATCCATCACATTTACGTGCAAGTACACACGCACGGTGTTTATTTGCAGAGAGCATCAGAGGACGTGATACACAGCTGAATTACAAGACATATGGCGAATGAAAACTACAGTGTATGCAATCAAATTATGTAATTCTAAAAAGAAAAGCCAGTGCTTATTCAGTCATTTTTATCGTTTGGGTTACACATGTAGAATATTCTAATGGCACCTTTTATGAAATACAGTCACGTCCAAGTATGTAAAGATGATTATCCCTGCTAAATCTATACCAATCAAAAATGAGGAGTAGTTCATGTAAAGAGAAGCAGACCAATGAAAGAAAGACTTGGAAAACTTGACTTTACACTGGGATACACACCAAATGACACTGTCATGATCAGAACCCTTGATCCCAAGGGTAAAATGCGCAAATCTATATGTATACGCGGCCCCTTTAGGCATACACCCCAGTAGGCTTGGGTGGTATCTATTTTTTCATACCTTCATACCTCACTGGAATGTATTGGGGTGTACAGTGTATAAACATATTTATGTGTGGCGCATTTGTGTGGCTGACTCACATGAACAATATTGTTTTAATGGGAGGCACCTCACGTGAGGTTTTCCAGACTCGGGAGAGATAATGTATTTCATCTGGCCAGGGGATGCCTCGGGATCACCCAGGAGGAGCTGAGGAGAGAGACGTCTGGAGTACTTTGCTCAGCCTGCTGCTGTCGCGACCTAGCCCCGGATAAGTGGATGAAAATGGATAGATGGATGCATTATTATTGTAACTAAGACATTCACTAAATTTTTTTTTTCTTTCTACCTGGATAGATTATCACCTAAGATGCTATTAGCATTAGTCTCACTTTAGCATTTCCTAGTTGTACACAGAGCTGAGCAGAAAGTCTCTAATGCTGCAGCTTGACCGGCTGTCTTGATGTGAGCAGCATTTAAATTTTTGAATTGTCATGCCCTTTTGTTGGACCGCTAGCTTCGTCCGCATAGTAGGTATCCAAGCATGGTGTGTAAAGCGAATCACTTGCTTCCCATACACAATGAATGAGAGCGAATTTCTGGTCATGTATATAGTAAGGCTGCACTGTAATGAATAAACTCACAAAATGACAAAACAGATATTCTTACCCGCATTTCACGATACTAAACAGAGAAATACAATTGTACATCTTTTGAATTCAAATTTCTCTTTGACTCTACGAAGACTTTATTAACTTGTTTACTCGCTGTAAAACACACTTCATTTAAACTCAACAGAGACAAAATAAAACTTACCAACAATGTCTTAGTCATGTTAGTCATCTGGTTAGTTAGTCTTACTCTGATTTGGTTGAAATAAATCCTTAATTCACCAAGTTAGACTTGAAAATATGTTGTTTTCCCAGTGGTTTGTCTCTGCTGTTTTGGCTGTTTACAGTCCTATAACGTTATCCCCACTACTCTCAGTCACCGTGTCTACCAGCTCAGCATTGCTCAGTATTTAGGTTTCAGTTGTCAATTGTTTGGAGAAATCACGTGCAGTAAATAAATGGTGCCATTGTATGTGTCTGCAACCCAAACTCATTTCATAGTCATCGCATATGACAGACGACGGCGACAGACACTGTAAAAAAAAGCCATCCTTCCTGTTGGCATGATATGAGGCCAGTCACTGTTACTGTTTAGCAGCGTACAGCGGCATCAGTGGGAAATGTGGCCGGACAATAACATAAGTTAACCACTGACTTTCACCAGGGTTCGTGTGTGTTCACCGTTTGAATGTAAAGGCAAACCGTCTTGTTTTCTTCTAAAACTAACCACGTGCTTTTGTTGCCTAAACCTAACCACGTGCGTAGAGGATTTCTTAAAACTTAGTGCAGTTTTATGTTGTGACAAAGCTGTAGTACACTTGTGGTTAGGTTTAGCCACCAAACATACCTGGTTATGTTAAGCAAAAAATCATGTACTGGCTTTTGGCTTATTTGTCACCACAAACACCCACTTTTCTTGTTTGTTTGTCTTGAACAATGCTCTGCTGCTTGGCAGGTATCTCTTCAAGGTCTAATGCCATCCACCACCCCCTCCTCCAACTCCAACCAATGAGAAACTTAGCTCATATATATATCTATAATCTGGACTACATCTCTTTAGAAATGTTCATATGATGCATATGAATCATACCAATGAAACATATCCATGGTTCACAGAAATGTACGTCATCATTTCAATCTGGCAACCGAGCTGCAATCTGACGAGGTCGGGCTGAGAACATTTTTGTTGCTTTTGACATGACACAAGTCACTTTGGGCAAAAGCAGTCAACCTATCATGTTATCGTCCTCTGTTTGTGTACTGATTGACCTTATGTAGCAGAAATCGCTCTCTAATAACATTAGATGATGAAACTAATGAGAAAATTTTATTAGAGGATTTATTTTAATGGCTCAATAAGTGTTAAAATCTATCACAGATGCAGCCTGTGAGAGAAGAAACACTCTTCCCCCCCTCATTTCATTACTTTTAGATTCAGCTCTTTTACAAGATGCAAAGTATCACATTAGCATTGTGGCTCTTTCCAGAAATATCTATTTTTTGAATTAGGCTGTAAGGAACATTTACATAGCAGACAACTATGTCTGAAAGACAAAAATGCTCTCCTTAAACAGATAGATGAAGCCGGCAAATTTACATATCCCATGTGTGAAAAGGGCTCAAAGTATCGGCCACTACGGTAGACGCTTTCTGAAGCTGCTTTCCTTACAGTTTCTTGTTTTGAAGGTGGAATGCTTTTGATGTGAAGCAGCTGCAAAAGGCATGTTTGCATCAATATTAAGTTCATTATAACTCCCACAACACACAGCAAAGGGAATGTCAATGCGGGAAACAACTTGGCTACTAGTTTAGATGAAAGTTACTGTATAAATCTTGTTACGTGAAGTGTCTTTGAGTATTCAGAACAGGGTTCTATGAATAAAATGTAGTATTAAGATAAGTTTAGTAAGAACAGGAATATAGGAATGAAACAAAACTCCAAACAACATCAGCAACTGAGAACTAAAAGACAATGAGTCTCAAAATAGTGCTTATTCTCTGGTCTCTTGCATGACCACAAATGATGTGCTAATTAGTTCACCATTACATTCACATTCACACATTTCTGTTGTCACAATATTGCAGGTCAGTGCAATTTCCACTTGTGAGGGTGCCCCTAATAATCTGTGCCATTAGTATAGTTATGATAGTTTATTGGAAGTGTGTTTAAAATGATAATTTGAGTTCACAAAGATCACATTAGCTGTTACACTAACGAGGTTTTATGCCACAGGGACCACAGCGTGTTGTTCCCTGTGCCACTGCCCTCTTCTGTTTTGCTGTGGCCCATTTTCAGTGTGTTTCATTCATCTCCTGAGACTCTTTGAAACCTTCTTTTATGATCTTGTTCATTGTTTTCTCTCCTCAGAGCCTCCGCACCCCATTGCCCCACCCCAACTGCTAGGCGTCGGCCCCACATATCTGCTCATTCAGCTGAATGCTAACTCCATATTTGGTGATGGACCTATTATACTGAAAGAGGTATGTTCAGCATGAGATGTATGTTTTCTAAGCAATAACATGTGTGTTACAACATTGTATGAAGCCACTGTAAATCATGTTGAATAAACTTTTATTTTGCATTAGTGGCAATAAATGACCATAACAGTTACCATTGATCCTTTAACGGGAATGCAGGAAAATGGAATGACTTTTAATGACATATGCCAAAGGAATAGTTGTATATTTTGTATATATATATATATATATATATATATATATATATGTGTGTGTGTGTGTATATATTATATTGGGGGCAGCAGTAGCTCAGTCCATAGGGACTTAGGTTGGGAACCGGAGGGTTGCGGTTCAAGTCCCCGTCCGGACCAAAATATGGAGTGTGGACTGGTAGCTGGAGAGGTGCCAGTTCACCTCTTGGGCACTGCCGAGGTGTCCCTGAGCAAGGCACCGAACCCCTCAACCGCTCGGAGTGCCTGTCATGGGCAGCCCACTCTGACATCTCTCCACTTTGTGCATGTATAGGTCCAGTTTGTGCATGTGTGTGTTCGGACCTGTGTGTAATTGACAAACAGAGTGAAAAATTTAATTTCCCCTCGGGGATTAATAAAGTATGTAAAATTAAAAATTAAATTAAAATTAAAAATATTTACCATTTCTAGTAGTGGGAATTATGTTTAAACTAGTAAAATAATAAAGTGGCTACTAGATTTGCTTCAGTCACCGGCTCAAAACACAATGGTAATCTATTGACTATTGACTATTTTGAAATCCATTAACCACAAGACGGGTTGGCAAAAAAGTTAATTCCCAGCCTTGGTGGTTAGCTTAGCACAAATGCTAGAAGCACGGGGAAACAGCTAGCCTGGCCTCTACCAAAGTTAATGTATGTGCAAATTAAACAAATGAGTTATAACATGTTAAGTAGTCAAATTCAGAGGTTCATGTGGTTGTTGGATTTTTTTTTTTACTTTGAATGGAGCCAAGCAAGTTGTTACACCCTATTTTTAGGTTTTTTACTAAGCTTGTTAAGTGTTATTGATTTTCTCTGCTTACGCTTGCCAAGAAGTGTCTTCATGTGATCCTGATGTGTGGGTTTGTCAGGTGTTTTCATGACAACTAGTTAAATGCGTGGTTCAGCATTTTGGGAAACAAATGTAGTTGAGATTAGAAACAGTAAATAAGCTACCATAGCCAGTTAGCTTAACATAACACAAGGTCTGGAAACAGCTAGCCTTGCTTTTTTCAAAGTAAGTGTATGTACAGATTAAACAAATGAGATATAACATTTTAATTAGTCAAATTTAGGGTGCAGGTAGGTGCCTGGTTTTTAATTATTATTTATTTTTTTACTTTCAATGGAGCTAAGCTAGCTGTTACCCTGTTTCCAGTCTTTATGCCAAGCTAAGCTAAGATAAGCTAATTGTCTCCAGGTTTGAGCCTTATATTCACTGTACAGACATGTGAGTGATTTTCTCTTCTTACACTTGCCAACAAAGATAATTGCAAACTCTCAAACTACTTATAACTATTTAGCCTAACTTGTGGCAGAGAATTAGATGATAGATTGCTTTACAGTAAATGTTAAGCTATCGTAGCTTAGCTTAGCCTAGCACAACGACTGGAGACCAGAGGAAACAGCTAGCCTGGCACTATTCTATGATAATCTTGTTAATTAATCTGTACAGAAAAAAAAAACAAAGTGTAAAAATGATGTTCTAGATCTTTTCTTGGCTGGGGTCTGTAAATTCCTGGAGTCTCTCAAGGAGGTTAAAAAGAAGTCTCTGCATCATATCATTGGGGTGCAACACGCACACATTTCACACACTATTTCTAGCTAACTATCAAACTTTACTGCAACATGGTTGAGTAAGTTTATTTCCCACTCTATGTATGTCTAAAAGTTGATGATATTTTCAACTTGTAGTTTGACATTTACCGTCTGTTGATACTGAGCATAAAGATTAATACTGAATATGTAATACTTGATTTTTCTGCTTTAGGTTGAGTACCGCATGACATCAGGCAGCTGGACGGAGACTCATGCCGTGAACTCTCCCAACTACAAGTTGTGGCATCTTGACCCGGACACAGAGTACGAGATCCGAGTGTTACTGACCAGACCAGGAGAGGGCGGGACAGGCAAACCTGGACCACCACTCATTACCCGGACCAAATGTGCAGGTAGGACATATTACTGTACAGGTATTAAAAACTGATCAATTTTGTGATCACCAGAAGGAAAACAACCATCAACAAGAGCAAAAATAAATTAATCACTGTTAATATCAGCTGTAATCTTCAATTCTTAGAAGTTTTCCATTAAGCAACTTAATATTTAAACTATTTTCTTCTCACTTTACTTGTAATAAATTCCATGAAGGTAGATCATAAACATAAATGTCTACCTAGAACTTGATAAACTGCAAGACAAAGGTACCTAACTTGACTTTAGCCGGGTCTGCGTGTGCACACAGCTTTTTCTGCCTGTCTGATTATCTATCGATCAGTCCATCTACTGTTGTTCTTTTTTGGTCTTGGTATCTATATTTTAGTTGTTGGAGTGATATTTATACTATGAGCAGGCAGGGAGAGGGGCGGAGAGGTGTAGCGAGGGATAGAATTGGAGAAGAAAGGAGGGGAGAGCCTGAGTCAGTCCGTGGTTGCTCAGTGATCTGAGAGAAAGAGTAATTAAAATACTGGAGGCTCTCTCCACCTTTCTCTTGTTTTATCAGGCTTTTTCTTTCCTTCTCTCACTTCATTCCTGCTTTCCCGCAGCCACTCGTCCTTTCTCTCATATCTCCCATTCCTCCCTCTATATATCTCTCTTCCTACTTCGTTCCTTGTCACTGCCTCCCCCCCTTCTTCATTGCTTCTCTCTCCCCATCTCTTTCTCTCTCTGTGGATCAATAGACGGAGGGCAGAAACACTGTCTGACATTTGTAGAAATAAACGACTGAAATATAAACACAGCTAGCCTGGGGGAGAGAGACGGAGCGAGTGAGGGAGGGTTGATATGCGAAAGAAAGAGACAGAAAGAAAAGCAGTGAGCTTGAATGAGAAACAGAATCAAGGAGTGATGGAGAGATGATGAAAAACAATAAGGCTGGAAAGGAAAGAGGGGAGAGAATAGGAGCGGTGCGGAGAGAGAGAGCGCGAGAGGCGAGAGAATGATGAAACTGGAGGATGAAAATGAAAGAGAGATGGAAACTCATAACCACGGGGCCTGACTGATGTCTGCCAACCTGTGTGTGTATGTGTGAATGAATCTGTATGTGCGTGTGTGTGTTTATTGACAAAGAGGAAGTCATAGACTTGTTCAGGTGACTCGTGTATTGAACAGTTTCCTGTTTGACAGGAAAAGGAAATTAATCTTCCTCTCCTCACTCACACGGGAACACATTTGAGTTAAAGATGATAACTCATTGTAATCCACATAATGTGTTGATATCAGACCAAAGCAGGAAAATAGGGTTATGAGTTTAGAGAATTGCATCAAGTCATTATGTCTATCTGAATAATTTTTGTCCACTGACTAGACAGTGAAGAGACAAAATCTTCAATCTTCTTTCTACTCTAATGCATTTCAGACTCTACCACTGAACAATTGACCTAATGGACATGTTATCTAGTGTTATATTCAGTTTTAAATATATATTTGTAAAGAAAATGCAAAAACGTTGCTATTTAGGTGAGACTAAATATCATGAGAGGTATTATATTATCACCATAATTCACAGTACAATATTACTGCGATTTTAAACGTGTTGCGATATGCTGAGTATTGAGATAAAATATATTGCGATATATTGTGATTTATTACCTTTTTTCAACTGTAAATTATGTCGCCAAACAAAAACTTAAAAAAAAATAGATAAAACATAAATAAAGTTTTTAGTCTGCTCATCTCACTTCAGTCATTTTATTGCAGCAACATCTATCTAGTTAACTGAAAAAGTAACCAATTATATCACTTTAGTAGGCAACCAAATGTTTATATTTGTAACATTAATAATTTATAGAATAAAATTTTGATACTTGGCATCTGTGTAACGATATGATATTGCCACAAAAAAATATCGCAATGCTATGCTGTATCGATTTTTTTCCCACCTCTAATAAGAGGCCACAACATAAAAATTGGCTCACAGCCGAGTGCCATTAGCCTGAGTGTCAGACTGAAGCTCTCAGAACCTTCAGTCTGACATCGCCTCAATTGAAGGCGATTTACAAGGGGGAGGGAATTTGATTTTTCCCTAACCAATCAGTAGAGATCAACGACTCACCCAGAATCTGACGTCATTAGTATCCATGCATCGGTGGTGCCGAAAACAAGCGAGCACTGCCCGTTTAAAATGTTTCCGTAGTCGTGCACGCCCAGCTGCATCGCCGTTAAATCCAGTTTAGCAGCTTCCTTAATTTGATCCTCCATTAACGCGAGTAGTGGCGAAATACCTCGATAGCATCGTTAATGTGGTCTGTAGGATCTGTAGTGGTCGCCATTGTTGCTATCCTCACCAGTTACCCACAGGCGTACAGCTTGACATCAGCGTGGCGCTGATTGGCTAATCGCTAGACCCGCCCCCACCCCTGGCATTCATTGATCCGTCCATCGTTTGGACGAGATAAATTGCAAATTCATTGCAGTATGCCAGACCAGAGATGTAAGCCTACTCAGTTGAGTGGGCGGGGTCTAGAGTCAGGCTGGCTGTTTCTAGTCTTTATGCTAAGATAATGTAACCAGATGCTGGTTTTATAACTCAAATAACAATCAGCAAGAAAGTTAAAATGTGCATTTCCCTCAATGTCAAACCTTTCTTTAAAAAATAAAACTTTTTTTAACCTCATATAAGTGTAAAAACATAGTTCTACATTGACTAATTTACATTAATTAGAGCACATGAAGTCCAAGTTCTGGAAACAATACTATTCAAATCGGACACAATTCCTTAAATAAAATGACTATTCAACATAGGTAGACATAACTAGATATTAAAATAAAATAAATAATAATAAGCCTGCATCATACTTTCTGCATCCACAAATGTACGCTTTGGTCCGTGTGACATAAATGTCATTGTCCGCCCAAGTCTGCGAGGGTCCACTCCAATGTGGACGTCCACGTGCAGCCCAAAATTTATGACCATTTGGACTGTACACATAGCAAGTGCTGGAGTTACAAAACATTATCTTGTATTCCAAACTCCAGTCCCTGGTCATATTTGAGCAGTCACACTTTATATTTCACTTTTTGCGTTTTTCATGTTGGGTTTCATCTCTTCTTGCTGTTCTGAGGTCGCCAATATCTCTCCTAATGCTACTTCCTCTTCTTGACTTTTATGGCAGTTGGCGAACAAAGTTAAGGTACATTACTGCCGCCAACTGTTATGGAGTGTGGATTTGGGAATTTACATGGGTGAAACACATGGTGGATGTGTACCCTCAGTTTTAGTATGAATGGAGCGGCGTGTGTGTCCACCTATGGCGTCCACGCAAAGAATGCTTAGCCTTTACTGGGATGTTCTTGTTGTGACTTTATTATTATTGTAGTGATATCTTCCCACCTGTTGTTCTCTCTTTGTTTTCGGTGTGATTAAGGTCATTCAACCTCACACACATACACAAACACACTTGTATTGACATAAATATATTAGCTCTCACACAAACACACACACTTGGAGATTGAGTTTTGTGTGTTTGTGTTTGTTGAGACACACACACACACGGGGCAGAAATGTTATTTAAATGGTAATGATTCCTTTACTTTTTCTGTTTGGTTAGGTTTGTCTGATCCCACCACCTGTAGTTTACTGAATATTTAGCACAATGCAAAACAATGAAGACGTGCACACACACACTCACACAGAAAGATGTGTGAACAGACACCAGGCATAAACCCAAGCATGTCACAACACAAAACACTGTTTAATTAAAAACCAATAAAGTTAATAAGATACGGAGCAGAAATCACACACGCTGCAGAGCAATTGATATGATAAGAGGGGGGATTTCATCTCTTCCTCTCCTCTCTTCTTCTCATCTCATCTTCTTCTACATGTTTTTTTATTTCTCTTGTATCTCTACCTCTTTCTGGTGCTCCCTCTGTCTCCTTCGCTCCCACTCCTCTCAATTTTTCTTCTGTGGTGATTCATTGCTCTTGTCAGAAGGGTGAAAAATAATCAACTTGAAGTGAAGAGTTAGTGAGTGTGTGTGTTGTGTGCACGTGTGTGTATGTGTGTGTGAGAGAAGAAGGTGATGAAGTAGCTTTTAATCCAAATCCTGAATTTTCTGCTGAAAACCTCTTGGTCATGGCAGGTTACACACACTCACACACACAATCACACATGGACACACACTAACAGGCATGAGCACACACAGAAGAGAGACACACTAAGCGGTATCGAGATGGAGAGAAATGTACGAACACACACACAGTTCAGAGAGTCACAGTATTTCTCGTATGTTGCACAAACTCAGCATCACTTGGATTAATGGAAGAATGGAATCACAAAACACACATTTCCAGACACACAAGCACAGATGTTGTAGGAATCACACACAATATATCACATGTGCTTCTTTATATATGTGAAAACGCACACACACAGTCAGCAGTGCTACGCTTAAAGGGTCATGCCCTTGAAATAGCAGTGAGGAGACTTACAGACACTGTACTGTCTGCTGTGTGTGTGCATGTGTGTTTGGCAGTTTGTGGCAAATTTTAATGGTTTTTCTTGGATGATTTTCTGCCTTTTATCGACCAACACATCCTCAGACGATGGTTCCTATGATATCCTACGAAAATGCACACACAACGGTTTTTATGATATCCTGTGATCTAGCAGCTGACTTAATGTACTCAATGTTAAGTTACGTGCTTAACGCAAAGTTATGTTAGGTTAAGGAAAAGAAACATGGTGACGACATACCATAGAATGACTCAAAGTTCACACAGTTCCAAACACCAGTCTCCCGGGGAAAGTCCTGTGTTTTGTGACCCATCCGCCACCCCAGCCTACCTCCTCACTGGAACCACTTCCTTCTTCACTCCAGTTAGTGTGTTGGTCACATGATCGCAGCCTTCCCAAATACATAGGTTATACACCAATTACTGGCACATGATTACGTGGGATATGTACAAATTCTGGTGTATTAGGGACGAAAATCCTTTAACACTATAGTGT